TTTGGTGGGTTTTGTTTTTGGTTTTTTTCTGTTCGTTTGTTTGTTTGTTTGGATTTTTTGCCTTGTTCACATGATAGTACTTTTTTTTTTTTTGTATGTGCCCATAGATTACACATTTTCCTGCATCCAACTGGTTTGCCGCTGGCGTAACCAGTTTCACAATGGCAGTGTTTGTAATCGCAATTCGAGTTCTATTTTTCTGTACTTTTGTCATATTGGAAAATTATAAATAAAATTGTCAAAAAAAAATACACTCACTTAAGTCTATTAATAAGGGGTACTGAAGGTCGTACATTGTCTGGTAATTTGACAAGGTGAAGACCTGTTAACTTACAGCATACAAATTATTTGCTCGACATCACGCGCTGAATCGATCAATGCTCAGAGCAATGGGAAAGTCCAAGGAACTTGTGTAGATTCACACAAGTTGGAAAGGTCTCTTTCTAAACAACTGGAAATTCTAAGATCATCAAACTTCAAAACTATTGTACATAAGTAAAAGTTATTCAGGTATGTCACAGCTTTGCTAAGGTCTAGAAGAAGACCCCAAACTGTCAAAAATCCTGCCATGAACAGGAAGCTGCTGGAACACCAGGCTGAGCGTCCACAGTGAAGCATCGCTATGAACCGAGAAACAAAGCCCCTGCTGCAAAGTTCAAGCACAACTGAACTGAACCCACAGAGACGAGCCTTGTGGAGAAAAGTTTTATGGTCAGACAAGACAAAGATTGAGCTGTTCGACCACAATGACGAGGAACGTTTGGAGAAGTAAAGGTTAGAATAGGCTACCAGCTGTCAGTCAAGGTGTGGGTAGCATCAAGCTCTGGGGCTGTTTTCCTGCAGTTGATACTAAAGGACTACCTCCAACTTCTTCTTTACCTCAAGTCAACAGCTAGACAGCTGAAACTTGGATACACAATTGGGTCAGTGATCTTAAACACACTTTGAAACTGGTTTATTAAGTGACATTTAACCAAATAGTAGTTATATACTGTATGTATGTGGCCCAGTTCTTGTTTTTTATAGTCCTTAAAGATGTATGCTCTACAATTAGTTAAACCCTGGAAAAAGAACAAAGAGCAAAATGCCCATGACATTCATGCCCATGACGAGTGCATGTAAACGTCTGTATGTCCTTTGGTGATTAGAATGAATAGTGATGACGGTGTGTTGTGTTCAACTAAGGTTTTCAGGCGTTGCAAGGCCTCGGGAGCCATGTTGGACATTGTAGATGCCTGCTCGTTACTTTACAGATTGGAAATGGACGGTAAGATATAGAACAAACTGCATGCTAAAAATACATCTCAGACACTCATCACACTCTGATTAAAATTCAGGAGTAATGCTTTTTTTTTTTTTTGTGCTCATAGAATATGTTTAAAATGATGCCAGCTGGCAAAATGCTCCAACATTTCCTAATGTGTTACTAATGGACTGATGGGCAACTGGAACAAATAATTTAAGATAATTTAAGACAGTATGGTGTTGAGTGAAACTGCTAATGAGGTGAGATAATCTCAGTTGCCATCCTTCATTAATTTGAACCTCAAAAGTGCTTTGTTGGAAATTAAGGTAATTAACAGAACCTCTGACCACATTTTCTTCCTGCTCTGTTTTACAGCTGACTATGCAGCCTTCAAGCTGTATTAGCGTGTTTGTGTTTCTGCATGTTTCAGGAGTGTGTGTGAAGGAGCGTTGGCAGGAGCTGCTCCAAGTAACTCGGCCTCACACGGACGATCACGTGACCTTGTTTAATGACCTTCACTTCCTTATGGTGTCGCTGGGAGCTAAAGAGACTGGGACTAGTCGGCGTCTGCTGGAGGGCCTTCAGGAATTGGCGAAGTAAGTTTCGTGCCATTTCTTCTCTTCACTGCACACCTCAACACTCTGTCAGGCTTACATAAGAACAACACAAGCCTTATGTAAAATGGAGACAAGACTGAGCGTAGGATGTGAGATAGAGTGAATACAGTCAGAGAGAGGGGCTTCCCTCTGCAGCAGATGCCTCTGAGGTTATAATGGCCTGTGCTCTTCGTTTCGTCGAGCATACAAACCACAGAACAGCTCACATTTAAAACCAGTCCTTAAAGCTGTCGTGCTTTCACTATTACTTAAGACGTGTTGGATTTCTTTGAAAGTGAGTTAAGTAAGAAAATGTAATTTTCTCCTCATCGCAGCTTTACTTTGAGTGTATTAGACGAGCTGCATGCATGTTCAAACGCAGCATGCATCAATTACATCTAGCATATTACTTTTATTACCTGGGTCTTTGGAGGATTGCATAGTTTAAACTATTCCATATTTTTCCATATGGTAATTATACAGTCAGAGGCAGTGACTCAGAGTATTTGCTAATCTGAGAAAGCTTAAGGACAGTGAAGTGAATCCTTCTCAGAGGTCTTTGCAGCTTTCCCTCTAGATTGACTGCTGTAGGGAGGAGACTGGGCCGCAGAAGTTTGGATAAGTGCAACAGCAGCATTTTCTTTTTCCAAAGACAAACCTAAGAGAGTCATTCTCTGAAGTCATTGCAGATGGACTCACAGTGACATAACAAGTGTTTAAATTCACATAATATTAGATGCACTTCACTGAACTCGCTTCTGTTCAGTTCGTCTCCATTTGTGTGAGGAGGGCAGACTTAGACACCAATATGCTATCACACATGGAGAGCCTGCCACAAGGGAAACTACCACAAAAGATAAAGGAGAGGGAAATATTCCTGTGTCTTTACAAGTCAGCAAAAAATGTAGAAATAAACTAACTAGCCACAGAGTGTCTTTTTCCAGAATGTGTTCTTTATGTTTGCTTTAATTTTCTTTTTGCACGACAAACCAGATGCCTGGATTTCTACTCTCACAAAATATTTAATGCTGATGCTTTCTTTGAGATGCAGCATTAACAGTTTTTAACTTGTTACTCTGTATCTTTGGCTTCTTTTATAAGAAAAGTTGTTTCCTTTTTTAAAACCGTGTTTTTCTTGCACAGGGAGCCAGGAGACAATCAGCAGCATCAGCTGGCCGGGACTATAGGGATACCAATGTGCCAGGCTATGCTGGAGTACAACCAGGGTAACTACGGTCAAACTGTGGAGCTACTATACCCTTTACGCTATCGCATGGTAGACATAGGTGGCAGTGATGCACAGGTAAGTCTCAAAGAATTTATTAACTGTTAAAGAAAATCATTTCAAACTGCAGCTCTCCTAGTGAACTGCTGAAAATGTTTAAGCCTCGAGGCTTTGCTATCTTTGGATATCATTGCTCATACTTTGTTTTCTTGAGCAAAAGTGAAATCCTTGATGCTGTAAAAACAGGTCAGAGGTTAGGAGTGTTGTGCAGAAAAGCTGCAGTCTTTCTATCTATGAACATACCAGACCGTGTGAACATGTGGAGTGCAGTGCACCAGTGTATGAATAATGAACTCTTTCATGTTATTTTTGTTCTGAGAACCGTTCTCTAAGGCGTCACAGTTTACATAAAATGTAACACAATCTAACACAAAATGCAGAATGTCTTTTTACAACTGAAAGAGGTTTGTGTCTAATAATGTGTTTGTGTATTGTTGTTTTCAGAGGGATCTGTTTAATCAGCTGCTTATTCATGCTGCGATGAAATCAGAGAATAAGCAGCACCAGAAGCTGGGAAGGTAAGGAGCAGCAGGGATTTCAGGCTTCATGCTTTGGGGTGTTTTCCCCCCAGTATCAGTGTGCTTTTGCATGGGAATATGCCAGAAGATTGTGCGAGGGGAAATAAAACCCCATCTTTCATTCACTGAAACACTGAAATTCCAACATAGTTTTGTTGCGATTGCTGTCCACTCCGATTTTCTTTAACTGCTTTCCATCTGCATACAGAGCACGAGCTGCTTTCATGCTCCTATTATGTAACTGACATCCATGTCTGTACAGCATGTTATACTTTCATTATTGATCAGCTTAGCCTCTCAGCCTGCAGTCTCTTTGAATCTGTGTTCATGTCTTTGCACTGTCTTGTGCTGAATTTCCCCAGATGTCTTCTGGCAGAGCGCGATGCCGTGAGGCCAAACTCCCCTCTGACCCATCGTCTGATGCAGAAAGCTCTTGCACTTCAGGACTAGAGGTGCACAAACCAGTTCCCATACAAAAAAAACAACCATTGTGGGTTTAAAAGATTTAACTATCAAGAGCTTGGAGTGTTAAGAGAGTGGAAACCTTTCATGCAAATCTCATTGTAGTTTGCATTGAAGTTCTTTCTTACTATAGACTCCAAGTATTCAATAATTAATACACAGCTGTAAGCTAGTCTGACATGAAAAAATATGTAAAATTGAATTATTCAAATTTCTGCAATAACTTATGTGCAAAAAAAATGTAATTTTATTCATTCCAAAAATTGTTAATTTTATTC